GTGTTTTGGTTTTTTTTGTTTGTTTGTTTGTTTTTGTTGTTGTTGTTGTTGTTTGTTTGTTTGTTTTTTGTTTTTTTTTTGGGGGGGGGCTTCAATACGTATACGTTGTGTCTTCTGGGTGAGCAGCATGGCGTAAGGCGAAATCAAGTCCTGTCCTGGTGATGCTAATGTAAAGTAACTACATGTACATGTGCGTGTAGTGTCTTTGCACTTGCCCTACATTCAGAAATAACGTGACCAAGTGCCATAGAGTTATATCTACCCCCTTTTAAACTATAGTGTACATCTATGCCTAGTGCGCATACCCGGCAGCTTCACTCACATGTGGCATGTCGTTGCCGTGACGCTTTTAACTTTTAACTAATTGTAAGAATGGGAGTTGGGGGGGGGGTCGAGAATTTACTTTCCCCTCTCCGAATTTTATATACCTTCAAATTGAACGCCTAAAGTGGCTTTTATTTTTTCAGTAAAAAAAGGCCTCTTCTGTGTTTAGCAAGCAGCCCGTGGCATGGGTTTAACACCCATATGAGCACTGATGGTGTTCTAATTTTTAGATTTTTTCAAATCTTATACTCAGCAGACAATCCAAATTTAAGAACACAGGAACTGCTACTTCTCTTTTTATTGAATTTTAATGAGAGTAATATATAATTCAAGTTTTTAATGTATAACCTGCATGTGTTTTTACGGTGCTGTACAGCCAAGAAAAATTTCCCTCTTGAATAATAAAGTTAAATCTTATCTTATCTATCTTATTTCTCTTTTACCATACAGACGCATATATGGAAACATTTGAGCAATAAAGGGGTTAGCGGATGGTTGGAAGCTTGAAGGCACCCTACGTGGCATGTCCTACTTCTTTACTTCACGTCTGTTGTTTCTATCTGTCTTTCTTACTTTTTCTCAGCACCAAATTGTGTCGATGTGCTTCTCTTTACTCAAACAAACTCAATGAAAGGATTGAAGCATTTTTCGCTTTCTCTTAAATGACACTTTTTTTTTCTTCCCAGAGATTCCTGCTACCTCCAGTCCCCAAAATGTCTATCAAAGTGTACTACTTTAACAGACTTCGTGCCAGGGGAGAGCTCCCCCGCCTTGTGCTGGCCGCTGCCAAAGTAGACTATGAATTTGTCCCCGTGGAATCACCTGATTGGCCCAAGTTCAAAGCTAGTAAGATCTACCATTCTTTTATCATAGTATCATCATCAATGAATAATAATGATAATAAAAATAATCATTATAATGGTGTTGATAGTGATGATAATGACAATCATGATGACAATGACGATGATGATGATTATGATAATGCTGATGATGATAATAATAATGTAATAATAATAATAATGATAATCCTACTATAGTTAACAATGACAATATATCATAATTAAGTTGTAATAATAATAATGATAATAATGAAAACAATTTGCGTGTGTGTGCGCACACGCACGCGCACAT